ATAGACCTATATCTAATCTAACTTTCATCTAAAAAATCCTACAGAAAATAGTTGCAGGTCAGTTGCGTGAACATCTACAAAGAAATAATCTGTTTGAAGAGTTTCAGTCAGGGTTTAGAGCTCATCATAGCACAGAAACAGCACTAGTAAAAGTAACTAATGATATTCTCATGGCCTCAGACAATGGACTTGTGTCTATACTGGTCCTGTTAGACCTCAGTGCTGCATTTGATACAGTTGATCTCAATATTTTACTACAGAGACTTGAATATATTGGAATTACAGAAACAGCTCTAAAATGGTTTAAATCATATCTATCTGATAGATTCCAGTTTGTAAATTTAAATAATAAATTTTCTTCATACACCAAAGTTAGTCATGGAGTTCCTCAGGGCTCAGTGCTTGGGCAAATACTCTTTACTTTATATATACTTCCATTAGGTAAAGTTATTAAACAGCATGGGATAAATTTCCATTGTTATGCTGATGACACACAATTATATTTGTCCATGAAACCCAATGAATACAATCAGCTACTTAGACTACAAGTATGTCTTAAAGACATAAAAACCTGGATGACTTAATTTTCTCCTGTTGAACACAGACAAGACTGAGGTTTTGGTTTTTGGACCTGAGCACCATAAGAATGAATTTTTCAGTCTTTCTCCCTCCTTAGATGGCATTAATCTGTCCTCCAGCTCTAATGTTAAAAATATTGGTGTTATTTTTTATCAGGATATGTCTTTTATCCCCCACATTAAAAATGTTACTAGAACTACCTTCTTCCACCTGTGTAATATCACTAAAATTAGAAATATCTTATCTAAAAATGATGCAGAAAAACTGGTCCATGCATTTGTCACGTCTAGACTAGACTATTGCAATAGTTTATTACCTGGATGTCCAAATACTTCTTTAAAACGTCTTCAGATGATCCAAAATGCTGCTGCCAGAGTCTTAACCGGAGTTACTGGGAGAGATCATATCTCTCCAGTTTTAGATTCTCTCCATTGGCTCCATGTCAAATCCAGAATAGAATTCAAAATCTTACTTCTAACCTACAAAGCTGTCAACAACCTGGCTCCATCTTATATTACAGATCTTATTGTTCCATATTTTCCTAACAAAGCACTTCGCTCTCAGGCTGCAGATTTACTTGTGGTTGCTAGAATTTACAAAAACAGAATGGGAGGCAGATCTTTCAGTTATCAGGCTCCTCTCTTGAGGAACCAACTTCCAATCTCTGTCTGTGAGGCTGACACATTATCCAGTTTTAAAACTAGGCTCAAGACTTTCCTTTTTGCTAAATCCTATAGTTAGGGTCGGCTTGGGTTTCCTGAGCTGTCCCTTAGTTATGCTGCGACAGGCTTAGACTGCTGGAGGACAAACTGACCATAATCTTCACTCTATTACTGTCTTTACTTACTCTGCTCAACCTATTTTGTATTTGTAATTATTTTTTCTATCCTTAACGTGTGTTTTTTTTGTCTTTCAGATGCACCTGGACCTACCATTCTGTGTTCGTGTGTCTCTCCTTCCTGTCCTCCCAACCAGCCGGTCAAAGCAGATGGCCGCTTGTCCTGAGCCTGGTTCTGCTGGAGGTTTCTTCCTGTTAAAAGGGAGTTTTTCTTTCCACTGTTGCCACTGTGCTTGCTCAGGATGGGAGACTGCAACGAAACCAAGATTCAACTTGTCTGCTGGATTCCTTAGATAGAGAACTTTACTAATTGGCTTTTGTGTTCTCTCGTGTGGCAAAACAAGTCCACGGCCGCTCTGCCAAATTTCTGCCACGTCTGACACATCAGCTCTGGATGGAGGCTCCAGTCCCTATGATGCGGACTGCCCTTGGACATCACATCCGCCCCTCTGTACAGAACACCAGGGATGTACACTGCTCTGATGGAGAGCAGATTTTGTGTGCCTGCCCAACACAGCAGTCGTCTTGCAATGTGTAACATTTGGGCTGAGCACACCCCCTCCTGCCAGTTTATGTATGTTGCAGTCACTTGTTGACTGTGTGAATCAGAACATGTTGACTCCGCAGCACAGGAGCAAAATGTTGAATCACATTCAAAACATTTATATGAGCTGCTGTGTGGGGTGGCCACAGCGCCCCCACAGCTCGAGACATGCATGTGCCTCCCCAGCCTGACAGGGACGAGTCTGTGAAAACTGACACGTGTGACGTAGGTCTGATGACAGGGACTCTCTCCGACAGAAACAGGAGGGTTTCCCCAGTGTCTCAGGTCAATTCTCATGGAGGGGGGCACAGCGATCAACCGTCTCTTCTGCCTCACCGGGTCCACGCGCAAACGAGCGAACCACCTCTGGAAGCGTCGCACCGTGTGAGCAGACGACATCGTCCCTACATAACTTCATGACGGAAACAGCCGTTATCACTCTGCTTCACGTGGCGGAGCTGGTCCTTTAGAGCTTCGGTTCCCGTCTGAGATAAACGCGCCCTCATAGTGACCGCGTTTAGCTTCACTCCCAGATAAACGATCGTCTGGGCCGGGTGAACTGAGCTCTTCCTCCCTGTTATAGTGAAGCTCAGATTTTGCAGGTGTGAAGTCAGTGCCTGAGTTTGCACTGCTGCCACCTGTCTGGAAAACAGGTCAGCAGCAACAGATCATCCAGATAAAACAGAATTCTCATCCCTGCTCTGTGTAGCGGCTGCAGAGCCGACTCCACGCATTTTGAATGGAATGTTGTCCAACAGTTGTTTGGTTGTCAACATGTGAAAATGTCTCTTCATGTACGACCTGCTGAAATTGACAAATCCAAGATTGGTCTCATCCCTCCGGTCCGTTTCGGGACCAGGAAGTAACGAGAGTAAAACTCGTGTTTTCCTCTCTGTCTGGAACCCTGGAAATTACATTTTTTATCAGAATTTCCTGAACTTCTGCGTGGAGGAACGAGATCTGTTCTGGAGAGGACAGAACCTCTGAGATTCCTGGGGGGGGAGGGGGGGGTGTTTAGCTGCAAACTGCAGCGTGTATCCCCTGCTAAGACAGTTCGGTGATTTAAAAAAAACCTGTTTGGAGGACACCGCCTCACTTTGTGTGGAGGATGTGCGAGGAGAAGCCGCTGTGAGATCATACGAACTGACAGTCAGGCTGAAATCAAACACTTTAATTTCTGAATGATGTTTACGTTCATTTCAAAACTCAAACCATCATTGTGCACACACACCTCCTCCGCACGGAGTCATTTTTGAATCTTCTCCCCCGTGAGCCCTGCGGCTGGTTGTTCCAGGGCGGCGCCTGTTGACGGTCTCTGGAGAAACGCAGCACCGCGCTTGATCAGATGGCGCAGTCTCAGACACCTCCTCCGATTTCTCGAGCATGGCCCTGAAATTGGCTCCGAACAGCGCGTCCGCCGTGATGGGGCCCTGAAGCAAGTCCCTCTGCAGCTTCTCCGGCAGGGAGGGGGAGTGACAAAACCAGGCGACTTCTGGAACATCGTCATCCAGGCTGCGATGCGAGACAGGCAGACGAGGCGCACAGGTTGAGGGTGACGTCAGACGCCTTGCAGAGGGAGCTCTTTGTCTCCTCAGGCAGGTCTGTCCCTCCGGCCTCTTGAAATGCTGTACGCCAGCAGCGCAACGTTATCGTTTCTCTGTGGCCGCCTGGAACGCACACTGGTGAGCTCGGTTGGAGAACGACGTCATCGTCTGGTCATGCTTCCCCGGAGGCGCAGGACGCTGGTCCAACCTGAACATCTTTGCACCGAGAGTCTCCGCCAGGCTTGGCTCCAGGGGGGCACCGAGGGAATTCCACTCTGTAAACCCCTCCACAGTAGGACGTCACTGCTGGAAAACGAGGCTGGCTGGGATCAGGACAGCGAACCGGGGTGGAGCCAAACCTTCCCGCTAGATCATCCGATCTGTGCGAAGGGAGGAGAGGGACGGAAAAAAGTCCCTTCATGTCAGCCGCCTCCTGGATTATGCCGGGCAGCTCCGAGAGGAGGGCACTGACGGCTGGGAGCGGTGTGGTCGCCGATGCGCATCCGCTCAGCCCCCCTCGTTCCGACAACACGCTCTCCAGGAGTGAGCGGCGGGGGCTGCTGCTGACGTTGCCTGTCCCGGAGGAACCATCCGATTCGCTCAGTCGGCGTTAAAAAGACAAAAAGGGTTGATGGCGCCGTCCAGCGGGTAGCGACCCTCCACTGAAAAAAATATTCCTCGGCACTTACCTTGAAACAAGGCTGCTCGAATGCTTCTCATCTGGGAGGAAGAACTCACTTGGATGGCAGGTTGTTGACGTGGCGGGGAACCCAGGCAGCCTTAGCAAAGTTTGTGCCGGTTAAGCTGGACAACTTTCCTTCTTCGTTCTTCTGACAGTGCTATTAGCTTGCTGAAGAAAACATGGGAGCAGATTACCTCCTCTTTAACGTTTTTTATACGGACCGGGTGGGGCCCACACAACAGGTGGGCATTGACTAAATTTTTACAGTGCGATGCTTTGCATGACGGGATACACCCACCAGCGACAGCTCTTAAAGGGCGAAGCCTATACGAAATAGAACGGTCATCTACCTTCTATTAGTCTTTGGTGTAAATTGTGTTAGCAGCAGTAATGATACAGCATGGTAGCTGTTTACATCAGTTAAAGTTTCATCTTTCATCATGTTTGGGTGCAGAGGTGATCCTCAGGCTGTTAATGTTACAGAAATGACCAGGAATTACAGAACCATTTAAATTTCTGCTGTGAAGACTAATGCAAATTTATGTACAAGTCTTTGGATAGAAAAAACTCCAATTTCACACAAAAATACCAAATCAACCAAATACAAGTAATGAACTGGCGACGGTTGATAAAAATGTCCTAACAGGTTTTGTGTGAGTCAGTGATTTGTGTTCTGCTTCTAACAGTCTTACCGTCCCTTTGGACTATAAATGAGCCATGCCCAACACAAAGGTTAAAAAGATGGAGCACCTCAAATTTCCCACAAACAACACGGGCAAGGTGTGCATTTTCTTCTTTTATTT